TTCCACAGGAGTAGGCCTGATTTTGACGCCATCTTACATCATAGGGATCAACAACTTTCCAATCCCAAGTGGCCTCGCTGGTGAGCTGTTCTGCCGAATAGTCGTATCATACTACCTCGTGTTTACCCTCGGCATTGTTTCAGTCTATACAATCACGTGTTTATCTCTCGAGAGATGGTTTGCAGTGGCAAAGCCTGCTCGGTACAGAGCAGGTTTTAAAAGTTACAGAATCTATATAATGGTGGCAACTGTATGGTTCATATCGTTTCTGTTTAACGCCCCTCACCTTTTCGAAATGAAACTGGGGCCCGAAAATCACTGTGAATGGGTTTCGCTGACGACGGGAGACGTCAGAAGAGGAGTTGCATTAATTGAGTTCTTGGGAAAGTTTTTCGTGCCACTTGTTATCACATGTTTGTCGTTCCTGAGTCTGTGGGTCAAAGTTCGGGATTCGCCAGCTCTGTTTCAAACAAATAGAGGTAAAGCTGGTGTACGTCTACTGCGCATGTGTGCAATTACTGCAGTGGTTTTGGCAATATGTTGGTTTCCTAACCAAGTGTATTACTTGTTGTTCAAGTTTGACATTACCCAAATGGATACCGCTGCACATCAAGTAACGGTAGTTATGTGCATGGGAAATTCCACCCTCAACCCCTTCATTTACTGCGCAATTAACCCATCTTACAGAAAACACTTCATAAACTTTCTTTGTCCGTGGCGATCGGGATATGATGCCGCAGATGTCATTTCGGATGATAAGCGAGCTCATACGATGCGCAACAGTAACACGGCATCAGGATATACCCAGCAAAGCTTTCCAGGGGCAAGAACGTCTCGCTTTGATGACTACAATTCACGGAGTGCTTCTGAAATTCGCATTTGACGTTGGTTACCGAAGTGGAATACCTTAAATAAGGTCTAAGGAAAGCCAACTAGGAGCTGCTGCCGGCAACAGAAAGGTTCGCTTGTGAACTAGAGAAACCAAAGATATCAAACCGGGAATAAGGAGACGAAAAATAAACCTTGCATGAGAAAAAATAGCAATAAATTTTTTGTTTGGGGCTAGGGCTGAGAGATCATAACGAATGCGCGTTACCACTCTTTAAAAAAAATAGTGATATCGTAGGGTTGTTTGTGCCTATCTGATCACAAAAAACCCAGGAAAGTGTGTCAGAGTAGATGTTTGCCGCATGAGTGTTATGCTACAAAAACATTAATAACATCATACAATAATAATAATAATAATAATAATAATAATAATAATAATAACAACAATAATATATAATAACAGAGAAGAGATTTCCCCGTGTATCCTTAAGTTTAATAAATACTCCCATAGTTAACAACAATCTGTAAAGAATTCCCTCTTTCGAACAGTTTTTTAGAACCGTTTTATTCAATGGTATCATCTACTTCGCTGTCTTCAAAGGGTTGTTCGGTTTCGACTGAGGTCTTCTTTTCGCTGACTTCTAGGAAAACAAAAGACAAAATGCAAATAAACAGTTGATTCAAAATGTTAGAAAGTACTGAGCATCAAAAAGACGCAAAAAAGAAGTTACATGAAAAAGAGAAAATATACTAGATTTAAGGATAAACTTTGAACACTGTTGTGTGTATTCATGCATAAATTTGACCTTTAAGATTAATCATCATCAACATTGATAAAAATCAATACAATAAAGCTTGGCAGCGCTAAATATCAGGTACCGTGTTTTAAAACCACGACGAAAAATATTTTATTATAACGCTCTTCTTGGTAAATAAAGAATTTATACCATCAGTCTCATCGTTTTCGACGGTGTCTTTCATTACTGTTTCTTCCAGTTCTTCTTCTTCCTCTTCGTCCTCCACTTCCCGAACAAAGCGTTCCTCTTCTTTTTGGAAAATCACACGTAAAAATGTAAGTTAATTTTGGGCATACATAGAGTATAACTACATCAGAAAGATTATCATGCGTTAACTAAAGGTTTTCTCCGAAATGCAATTTAGCACGAGTTATATCACACTCTAATACTCTGAAGTCAAGGCCGAATTTTTGAAAACATTAGCAACACCCCTCTTTGGTTAACCTTAAACAAGACTTTTCGATACCCTAACACTTAAATCTATGTGCAATTCCTTCTTCGAACAACTGGGTCAAGATTACTTTTAGTGACAAATCATACCAGTTCTATAAAAATTATCACTGTTATCAAATAATAATGATCACTGACCCGTCCCAGTCTCAGGTTCGTCTTCAGCATTATCTTTTATCTCCAACTCCGTCAATAACTCTGCGATTGCAATTAATTTTCATTTAAACAAAAGCTACATTTGAGTTTCGGTCTTGATAGAAACGTTTAATCTAGCAATTTGTAATTTCAATTTAACCGAATAATGAGTTTAATTAGGATGAAAGGTGGGTTATCATTCTGAATTAAACCCATTTTCCTGCTCGAGTATCCATTAGGGTTGTATGTTTTCACATACCTCACAATAGTAAATCCTAGTATTGTCCCAGATGTCACCTGTTTATACACCTCATCAACTACTTAAACAATAACATTTTCGAGTCGCTCTCTTTGGTGTTGATCGGACCTTCATTCTCAACCTCGACGAAACTGGATATCAAACTGGACGAAAGACAAATTCTTTCGAAATTAATGGCAAAGCAAGGAGGAAAGTTTCCTTCATCAATAGCAGATCACCTCTTCGCATCTTTTCAAAATTTGTCACATTAAATCTTAATTGACTATCCGGTGTGGAAATCTGAAAATCTGTGAATATTTCAGAATCTATTGGATCAGATCAATAAGATAATAAAACTCTCCTTCGTTACAAAGTTCTGATAGCACAACAGTAACAAAAATCATCTTAAGTCTTGTGAGTGCATCTGTTATTGGTAACAGATATCAAAAAAAAAAAGAGGGTAGCAGTGAGGGTTGCAATGCAGAAACTTGGGAAAATCTCAAAAAGGAATTTTCTTGCATGCTAGATATTAACTTGTGAATGAAAGAGAACTTACCATCTTCTTCGTCGTTTGCTGGAGCGCTTAGAACGCCGACGGTCAGAAGAGTGAACGCGAGCAAAAATAACCACTTCATCTTGAGCGTAACTTGAGAGGCAGGTATCGACTTCAAATGCGGGTATCGAAGGTGCGAGGTTTAATAAAACTATTCGCCGACCAATCCAACAAAACCGCGTCATCTGATTCAGCCAAAAAGTTAATTTGGTGGAAGACGACATTAAGTAAATTTTCATTTAAAAAAATGCCGCCTCCTTAATGGGCAGGGTATATTTAACTTCACTTATGCTTCTTTTGAGGAATCTTTTGAGACATTGATTGCTCTTTGTTTCTTGAAAAAACACAAACACAGATGGCATGGAAAAGAGCTTAGACTAAAAGCAAAGAGGTATTCAGTTAGCTGTAATCAAATATCTGAATATCTGAAATAGAGACATGACTTTCTGGACACAGATTCTCTCATATATTTGTGGAGACCAGAGGATATCAGTATATCCGAACTGGTTATGTTATGTGCAAAATATGTAGCCATGATACATTGTATTGTAAAGTTAGCATGCAATTCGACATTCATTGAAATCTTCATTGTTTGTATCGTTTATAATTCACTAAATCTGATTGGCTAATTCCTCAACAATTCGCCAGCGGGCAAATACAGCTGAATTGATTCAAGGCTCAGTCTGTCCATTTTCCAACAGAAAAATTTCAGATTTGTGATTTTTTTAAGAAACAAGCCCTTCAAGTAACATGAAAGTTGTTTCTATCTTGTTAATTCTAATCTTGTCTCCTTCAGTGGTCACTGCTACCGAAGAAACTCTTCCCGAGGAAGGTACAGAGTAAAATCATGACTTATTTTCATAGGCTAATTGCACAATGAATACACGCGGTAAAATACGGGTAAAATAATGTTTGTTTGGTTAGGGAAGGTAAATGGGTTCGAAAATACACCAAGTTTAGGATTTTTACCCGTATTGTATTTAAAATGCATCAGGACTAATTGGAATATATGAAGGTAAATCGAATCATAATCCATTTGCCTTTTTGCATGTGTGTATGTTGATTCAGGAATGATGTTCCCCGAACGTTTGGTTCTTTATTAAAAAAAAAAAAAAAGAAGATTTCTTTTCTATAAATATACATTTTTGCCGGCAAACCGGTTTAATATACGCAGGAAAATCATTCACGAAGAGAAAAAATTAAGTATTTCCTTTGCGCCTGTTTTCAAATCCACAAAATTTTTTAAGCGTCAAGTTAATTCTACCAGGTCTCTAAGAACTTAAATCAGTTCAGCCATCGCACTAGCTGAAGGCCTTAAAGAAGTAATTCCTTACAATATGCACCCTAGATGTGAGGATAAATCTTGGTGTGTGAAATTTTCCTATCAGTAATCACTGAGTCTCTTTGTCATGAATTTTAACGACTGAGAATGGATCGCTTCTACCTTTGAGCTTTACAACAATTTTAACATTTTCTCGTGATCTGCTGATAGAAAAGTTTTTTGTTACTTATCTCATGTAAAAATCTTATTGGGTTATGAGATGGGCTGAACGAAAAGGGACATCTTTTTACAGAAGGGGATCCGCAAGTTGACGATGACAGAAGTGAAATCGACGTGAATCAAAGTAAGGTTATCGTAACAGGTCTACAGTTCTAATCCAATACTCAAACTTCTTGATAAATGTGTGATTTGTAAAATAGCCGTCTCTCGATGCTCCAGGTTAACGTAGAATGAATACGGGAGAAGGAAATAATATTCCAATATCTCTACTTTCCAAAAGAATTGATTGAGTAGACGAGAAGTATACGAGTTCTTTATGAAACATGATGGTTGCTAAGAGTTCACTATAGCTCACAAGTTTAAAAAGAGAACAGCGCAACGAAATCGATATCCGGACTGGAAATCGCGTCAGGCTCATAGTTTAGTAAAAATGAAATTTTAATTGCTAGATGGATAATTAACTGAATTCAACCTGTGTTAGGCCTTATTAGTGCCATGACTAATCTAAGATCTGTTTTAGCGTTTTGGAAATTTTTACCAGTGGATTAATAAAGAAATTGTAATTGCTCACAGAAAACGGGGTTGATGCATTTGAAGGCGACATCATGATGACAGCTGAACAATGGGACGAACTCAAAAAGGAGTTTGAACGGACAGGACAGCCCCTGCCGTCATAGCGTCAATACTGGTCTAACTGATACTAACGGGACATCACCACAAGTTATATATGGCTTAAAGTTGACTGTATTTGTGTAAATTGAATAAAACTTTTTGTCGGTGGAGTTATCCATTGCCGGTTTACTTAAATTTTAGCTTGTTTTTCGTTTTATCAAAGTAATATTTCAGAATAATCCACCATCTGAAACCACCTGTAACATAGAAAAACCACGCCGACAAACCGAATAATACCGTTACACCCTGTTACAAAAATTAGAAGAAATGGAAAAGTTATTGGAAATGGCATCATTCAAAGACTGCGCAAAATTATTTTATCAGTAGATAGGGAAATGTGTCTCTAAGAAATCCCCCCTCTCATATATAGCACTGTCAGAGCAGAGTGTCTCGCACAAGAAGAGAAGATCATAGCCCCTGCAGGGACTTTGAACCAGCTCACTTTCAAAATATAATATGGCGTTTTTCTTTTATGACTGATACACCAACTTTCCTTGTTAACTTACTCAAGGATAAGCCAGAAAGTTATATACATGGCAAAGAAGACAGATAAAAAGCTGGTTTGTTTCATCAATTATTTCTGCAACAGCTGCTTATGATGCGTTTCGGAATATCATTAAGCAATTGCCATGTTTGTTACGCTTGCTTCACTCGGTCCAATTGTTTGGGTTGGTCTTATTTCATTAGCTCTGCTGACAGAATCACACGCAGTCATTTCCATCTCCGTGACCCTTGCCCTGTGCCACGGACACAAAAGAAGCGTAAAGTATCTACGGTACATCTTGTTGCTAAGGCAATAGATCAGAGGGTTGACACACGAGTTGAACATACACATAAAGACAGTAAAATGGTGCAAGGGCGTGTCCATCCGAGTTATGTCATATTTGAACAACAGATAATACAACTGGTTGGGAAACCAACTCACTCCAAGAATGACCGCTGTTAACAAACACATCCGTAGTAACCTTAAACCAGCCTTGCCCCTATTTGTTTGAAACAGAGCCGGTGACGACTTGACATGGTTGTAGATACTTACTAAAGTAACGGCTGCGACAAGAAGGGGAAGGAAAAACTTTCCCACAAATTCTAAAAAAGCCACAACTCTTCTAGTAGTACCTCCGGTAAGAACAATCCATAAACACTGCTCTTTCCTGTCTGAACCGCTTGTAGCTGTAATTTCCATCAAGTGCGGAGCGTTCAAAAGCACAGAGAGTATCCATACGCATAACACACAAATGTTTACTCGCGACTTCGTTAAAATTGTTTTGTACTTGGTTGGGCGAACTACAGCAAGCCATCGGTCCATAGCCATACATGCAACTGTGTAGACTGATACTATGCCCAGGGTAAACACGAGGTACTGAGAATATATCACTCTGCAGAAAAACTGGCCAAAACCTCCTGATGAAACTTTGATCGAATCGGGCCCAATAATGTACGAAGGTGTAACAAAAATACCAATTCCTTTAAAATAGAAATAGACATATACGTCATATCTCTATTTACAAAGATGCTCTATTCCAAGATTTACATTTCTGTTCCTTAATTACCATATATATCAAAGAAATTTACAGTTGCGGTTGTTGACAAAAAGGCAGGTGACTTGATGTTGAAAGAAAATCATTGAATATTGGGAAGAGTATTAGAGCCCAACCGTCAAAACTAGACAGATGTGTGATTATCATAAGTAAAAACCCTACTTTGAATGGAAGTTTACTTAGCTTGAAATGTTTAGATTAAGGCTAAACATGTCTTCGCATAGAGTATGCGTAGGGGAACTCAATGATACACTGCACTGAGCTGCTGGTGTATGATGCCTATCGTATTCACGGTAATGAAAACTCACTGAGCTTTTTTCTACTGTAACTTTCCCCTCAACAGAAAAAAAAACTTTTTCGTTTTAAATTGCAGTTTCTGAGGGAAGTTCTTGTAGAGGTGACTTAAAAAACAAACAACTTCCAATAAGCAATTCTAAAATTAAAAGCAATTTTAGCAGAGATTGACATCTGTCAATCAGTAGAAAGATTTCACCAACTTATTCCTGAAAATCATAATTCTATTCTCTAGAATTACAGGCTAAAATTGTTTTAGAATTAAAACTGAGAAAAGTTACACATCTGGCACCAAATACGCAAATGCCACCTTTGACATGGTTACCATTCGGAAGCCATCGATTTTCTTGCGTTAAGATAGAACACTATTTAATTAATTACGATGAAGGGCTCCGTGCGACCAAACATATGAAAAAGAGAAAGCTATCATTCTCTAGGGGCTAAGATATGAAAGGCACACAAGTGTCTAGGGGAGAAGTAAAATATAAAAAGTGCGTGTTATTCCACGCGACGATTTCAAATTAAAAAAAGGATTTTTCGTTTAGCACTTCTTGATTATCGTCAGTAATTCATTTGGAAACAATAATTTTTTATCAAGCGAATATTCTCTCGTTTTTCATTTAAAGAGAATGGTGATTTACCTGTTATTAAGTCAGTAATGGCCAAGCTTAAAACTAGCCTGTTGTATGGAGTCTTCAGCAGGGCTCTGTTTCGAAAAATTACCACCAGCAGAAGGCTGTTGTTAATGATGGCGAGAGATCCTATGATACCAAACAAAACTCTTATGCCTGCCTTCATTTTCGCCAATTAGACTAGTGTACGGATAAATTCGCAATATATGTTGCTTTTATGGCTAGTGAATTATATTTCCTTAGACTTGGCTTGCTCCAATGCAAATGTTATACTTCGGCAATAGCAGCAGTCAGGGTGTATCGTCCGGTGTTATGTTTCCGAATGACGTGTAATGATAATTGATGTCGCCAGCCAATTTGCTTAGGGTTTACCATGTCAGTCCTATTAAAGGCAATTATCCGGAACCTATCTCTGCCTGCAAAATTTATGATGTTTTTCTGAAAAGTTGGTAATTCTTTCTCTTCGAAGCTTTGATTTTTTTTTTATTATTTAATTTGATGAAAGAAATGACATACATATCGGAGCACTGCCATCAAAGCGAGTAACAAAAAAAAACCTCTCGTTTTCTCTTTATTTATATATTTTTAATAATATTCTAGAAAACAGCTTCGAAACATCTTGGTCGCGAGTCTTGCAGCCTTACCAATCGAATCATAATAAGAAAGATAGAAATCACACAAAGTGCGTTTCTCCTCCCTCTGTGTGTTTAGAGAAAAAAAAATTCACAAACATGATAATTGTGATGCCCATCCTTACTGGTTGGCGCATCAGTTTTCTCTACCTAAGAAGTCGACATCAAGGATTTTTTAATGTGAAGTTCTGACTTCAAAAACCAATAATTTTAACTCATTTTGACTGACATCGACTACAAAATCTGAGACGTCAACTCCATTAAACGTGAGGCAGGATTTTCGTCTTACCTTTTCAGCCGGTTTCAGCCTTTTCCACGGATCGCCAAAGCACATGTCTTTTATCTCCAGCCAAAGGGGATATTATCAGAGACTACAAAGAGAACAACAACATAATTAAAATTCGATTATTTGTCCCGATACAAAATTAAACTCTGCTTTTTTATATTTTTGGATAAATTACCAGATATCAACTGATTAATTTTCTTCTCAGATCTTCAGGGGATAATTGGATCGAAAATGAGAGTCTCTGCTGTCACTCGACTGTCGATTTCTAATATCATTGACCTCTACAGTACACAAAAGATTTCTTCGAATGAAATATAAATCGTAGCTATGACTGAAGCACGTTCCAACATCACCAACAATCATAACCGTTAGGCATAAATTTGTATTGCCCTGTATAGGCATGCAACTTAACCACTTTACCAAAATTAACTATTCTGTATGTGAAATAACATGTTACCCAGGTAGAGCTCCAGGCTCCTTGCAAACAATACCAACCCTTTAATAAATAAGGCCCTTAACCCGGGTGGCACCCTTCACGAATAAGTCTGAGTTTCACATTTCAATTCTTCACCTTTCTTGGGGTGATGGGTTTGCTTGTGTGATGAGAAACCAATTAGGTATACTAGCCATTCTTAAAGATACGAAGTAAACATAATAATGAGAAGCTTCGTTTTATTGATGTAATTATTCTGGTACAATAATTTGCTAGTTTAACACACATAAATATTTTTTATTATCAACTGTTGTCCCTGAGAAAAATGTTTGTGATTTCGTATGAACAGTAACAAATATACAGATTTAGATTCTTATGATCTAACAAGCTACTGTTCGTATTTTTCGTAAAGGGTAAATCTCCAACGACAGCTAAATACAAAAATGACAGTCTACTTGCCTACAATAAGACTCTATTTAGATGACATTGTTTTAGAGCAAACTGGCTGAAATTTTATATAATATACTGCTAGTTAAACCTTATAACATGTTTACATTTAGTTTGATAGTATCTATCACAATCCGTAAATGGAGGATACGCATCCGCTATCAGTGTATAATAGTTCATACCGAGACTCTGGTAAACAACGCTACACATGATTGTCTCTTGATTTATAGCCCCTCTATACAGATGTTTCAACACCGAGACGTAAGGCGTCTTATCAGTCTGCAGATATTTGCACTATAGTATAAATGAGTAAAAATAAATACGTATGGAAAGGTCGACTTTTTTTTAACCCAGGTCATTACTATACAATTAAAAAGGATCAAATATCTCCATTTTCTCCTCTTAGAGGATATTTCCCTCTAGAAACTTTACGGGTACAACAGACTGAACCACCTTCTTTGATTCTGTCGAAGTTAAGTCGAAGTCCTTTACTGATCCTCTGCACTTAGGGAGTAGTTCTTTTGCCTTTTTTCTGTATAGTTTGTTACTTAGCAGAAATATACAAGGGTTCAAACAAGAGTTGAACATGCAAACAATAACTGTTGCTTTATGAAATGGGGTATTCAGCTGCACAACATCGAGCTTGAATAGTAAATAAACAAGTTGGTTGGGAAACCAACACAACACCATCACCAACGATGTTGCGGCAGCCATATGTGTGACACGTGTAAGGGCAATGTAATTGCTTGGATGAGTCGTTGCAACAACAAGTGAATCCTTCATGAAACGATAAAGGTGAGTGAAAGACACCACGAGAATTAAAAATGGTATCAGAAATTTTAAGAAAATCTCTACAACTCCTATGACAACTCTCGCCTCTCTGCTGGCTATCCCTTGGAACACACAACGTTCAGTTGTGTTGACATTGTTAAGAAAATACTTGGTCTCTAAGATGTGAGTGCTATTTGTAGCAAAGGAAGCAATCCAAATAACGATCAGATACTGTCGCACTTTGTGAATTCTAAAAGTTGTTCGATGTTCAAAGGGACGAAATACAGCACACCAGCGCTCCACTGCAAGTAACGTAACGGTATACAAGGAAACGATTCCCAGCGTAAATACAAGATATTGATTTCCTATGATGTAGCAAAACATCGCAGAGCCAACATTCTTGCTTGTTAGAGCTGGTTTTTGACCAATAATATACACTGGTGTTAAGACAAGACAAAGACCTAGAAAGAAGAGAAAAATTATCATCACCTCAATAATTTCAAATGCTTATTTTTGGGATAGTTCATGGTAAATTTCATAAGTTTTGTAAGACAGTAACCTCAATGTTCAAAATTGCAACATAGACTAACCTATCATCATATCGGTGATGGCCAAGCTCAGTATTATCTTGTGATAAGCTTTTCTCAGTAGTTTCCTATTGCGTATAATAATCACAATAAAGAAGACATTTCCAGTGAAAGAGATGATTGCAACGGCCGCAAAAAAGAACCTTTGACTTAAATCTCCACTGAAAACCATGTGCACCGTTTTCTGCAAAGAAAGAAAAGCACAATAATTAACACGGATCCTACTCATCTAGTTCCTTAGAAATAAACTTCTACTGTTATTAATATAAAAAAATAAAAGAAGGTATGCGAGGTCGTAACTAAGGAAAGGAAGTTTGTCTATTTTCAGAAAATATTCTAGAACTAACATTTGAATTATCGTAAGATTGTTGCTCGGGAGGTTAACCCAGTACAAAACCTTCATTCATCAGGTTATGTGAAGAAAATGTAGGTCTTGATTTAAAGAACGTGCTTCCGGCCGTATACTGAGAACCTGAATTGACGTTGGACCCACGCAATGATGTTTCAGACGTGAGCGGTTAACAATAGAAATATCAACTCCTCATATTAAATGATCATGTCGGAAGAAATTTGATGTACTTACAACAATTTTCGTATTGTATTTCGTTGAACTTGATAAAGGAAGATTCTTCTTACAAATGGCATCTTTCCCGTAGGATCCAAAGTAATAAATCAAATCTGCTAAATATCCGGTGACTAACTGATTTGCAAATTAAAATCCATGAAACCAATCAAAAACCGACAAATTATATTGACCAAGGAGAAGCTTCACAGATTTTAATTCTGTTATTTTGCCAGTGAAACCAGAAAAATAGGCCATCAAAGTATTAAAATTTATTTACAAACCAATCAAAAATTAATAGAAAAAAAATGTTTTTCTTAAAAAAAGTCGAATTATACAACCTATCATTGCTTAACCAAAAAACGTGTGGCCTTAATGTTGTCATGCACGTAAAGCGTTTCCCTTATATCAAACCACTAGCTTTTTGAAGGTAAACAATGTTTTTTCGTGAGAATAAAAGATTATTCTGACGATGTGTAGCTGTCCACTTCAATAAATTAATAGCGTTTTCTTCTCAAAAAGGAACCCTTGGAGAAAATGAAGGATTGAGAGCCCTTATATCTTAAGGATTTCAACGTCATCCTTGGAGCAATCCCCGGAAACGATGGGGGCCTCATTCAAAATTAAAGCATACTGTTTGCATAATAAGCTCAAGTCAACAGTGTGCAGTAGTCAAATATACGTGATAGACTCTTTTTTAGTTTCAGTTTAGATTTTGGCAATGAAAGCTTTAACTTATTTCTCATTCATTTTTTAGGATAAGTTTGAAACGCTAGCTGGTAAGGTTTAGTAGAATTTGTACATCCATGATGAAATTACTTCAGCACAGCTCAAGGTTTTTCTCAAAGCAATACAATTGCATGCTAATTTTCAAAGAAAACATTTGTGGCTAGATGACTCAATCATTTTCAAAACATTTGGACAAGTCGATAACAAACTGACAGCTAAAGGTACATCAAACCAACATCTGTCCTATTACAATTATTGTTTGCATCACGTAGCTTTAAAAGCACTCTCGAAAATAAATGTAAGGTAGCTCCGTTGTGAGGAATGTCACGTTATAATATTTTTGGTCACCTAGTGGAAAATTACCGACTTTTTATCCATTTCTTTGTTCGTATTTGTCAGCGGATTAACGTTAACCAATTTTTGCCGACATAATCCAGCTTAGTCTGTAATTTTGAGCGAATGTTCATAGACAGAAAGCAAACTACAACAGTACAGTCCTTGAACTGCCTACCTTCAAACCCTGATCAAGAGGACACATTTTTGATAAAGCTCAAAAGCATATTATTTTATCTAAAAAGTAGAAAGGAATGTATACTCGTATGCATCATCGTCCGTTTTTTTACCACTCTCCCATGCATGAATGGTTATGTTACAAAATGGCAGTATTTACCTTTTGTTCTCTGAACCCGAATTGAGTACGTCGTTTTCAAATATTTCAGAAGTCCTGTGACGGCACTTCACAATGTTCGTTGTGCTACAAAATTAATTCGAACCATCTATGTTTAGAACCGCAGGTTTGTATAGATCCTTATGGTAAGTCTGACTTTAGTGTATAACCTAGCTAGGTAAAAATAAACAACTTGTCACTTTTTTTCTCTCGTCGTATAAGCTTAGTTTGGCATCGTAAAGGAAATTAAACAAGCAATGTTAACTTTTCTGAAAAAAAAAATTCGATAGCAGCTGCATTCTGTAAAACAGAAGTGAAAAGAATTATCACAATCAAAAGAAAAACCAAAACGGGTTTTTTAGCAATCAAGGACGTGCAATCTATCATTTAAATTTAGTGCTGCGTCTCAAGAACCTACTGCAAATTATAATGTAACACTACTTTGAGTGTTCTCAGTTTCTTACAAAGTTTTTCACATACAATCACGTGCTTAAAAGCTACGAGAACACTAGCGAATCAATGTCAAAGAGAAACAAAACAAAAATTTGTCACAGTTTTAAAGTTTCTACAGTCATCTTGATATTTTGAATTTGATCTTAGAGCCAATGTGCGACTAGAACAGTTTCTTAGTGTCAGATCTCTGTATTGACTTCTATTTTCTTTTCCGCTGTTCAAGAACAAACACATTCAAGAACAAGACTTGTTATCCAAGATAATCTCGGATCATATTGTAGGAAATGTATTTCACATATGAAATATCAATTTGTCAAGCTTCTTTACTTGAGAACTGCTCAAAATATGACTAGCCTGTAAAACTACCTATGGGCAAGGCGACCTCCTTTATATAGAAAGTTATTATTATAATCAGACCTGGCAATGTAACATAGGGTTTTTAATGCAGAAAGAGGAACACAGATGTGGTTTGAACGTAAAGAACACCTTTGACCTAAGCAGGCAGTCAATCTTAAGAGAAAATTAAATACCCGTGTTTTCTTTTTTCGACATCAACATACTTAATACTGGACTGATTTCGGCCCGCCAAAAACTTACAGTGGTTCCCAGGGCCTTGGTTTTTTTTCACCAGAAACTATTGACACTACCACCTGCTCTAAGCACACAGCCGAGTTGTTTTGGATCCTGTTTTAATTCTCTCCCTGGATGTCTTTGCATTGAACCGTTAAATGAGCCTGTTTCACGAGATGCCGCCAATGAATCATGTCAGACTCTATATTTTATTTCCGTTTCAACTCAGTTTCTGTCACAGTTACGTGCAGCGCGATGCTGATTGATTCCAGCATCCGTTCTACTCATCGTAATCTCTGTGCTTTGAAGTTTGGATCGATTAACACACATGCAAGCGCAGCGAAATGAAACGGGCTAAGCATCGATTAAATAAGTTACTCTCTGTAATATAGCGCAAGAATAACTTTTAAACTTAAGAAGTTTGTGTTTAAGACACCACCTGCTCTCCGTTTCACTCTATCGGCCGCATTTACGTTTTCTCGATGGTCAAAGTTAAGTGCTATAGTAACAGTGTAAGACATCAAAACTTAAATTTTCTGTTAAAGTTACAAAATAACAAGGGTGTGACCATCTCCGTACACCTCGACCAGGTGTACGGAGACGGCTAATCTGATCGTAGAGCTTTCGTCGGACCAAGACAATTAACATCCATTAATTTGCAATCGAAGACCACAAGGATTGAGCGTATGCCCCGTCCCACTCCCTGTTTGACCAGTACGCTCAAAGGAAATCTCAATAAGAAAAAAAAAACAGTAGTCTCCGAATTTGGATAACGTTGCAATTCCCAAAGGCAGAAACAAATTTGACACCGGAAACAACAATAAAGAAAGCACTCGTTGAATTAAACACTGTCCAATTGTTTTGGATTGACCATGGACTCAGTATCTCCATTGCGCGAGGCTGATGTCCGTGGAAATTATACCTACACAGTTTATTAACCCAGTAGCTATGAATAGACTCAAATCATTCACGATTTTTCTCTGCGGGTGAAGAGTCTTTGAATGTTTCATTTTAAACCGACTTGTGTGAGCGGCCACAAAGTCCTTTGTTAGACCCATGTTATCTGACTTTTGACCAATAGGAAGACGACAGCTCCTGAAGAAGCCTTTAGCCTGACAATTTGTTACTTTCGCTTGGAAAGACACCATGAATGGACCACCCCCAAATAGAGAGCAATCATGGCCGTCATAAATTATTCATCCAAACGAACAATCGATAGAATGTAGCTCATTTCAAATATGTCCTAATGGCCGTTTCAGTTTCTCTTACTGTTAACTGATCCTGTACAATATACTTAATTGCCTTTACCATGGTCCGTGGCGTTCATCATTCAAGAACAAGTTTGCAAGGTAAGACCTTTTCCTCTTTACAGAATCTGAAAATGTTCCTAACTTTAGAGTTTTTGATATGAAAATTTTACCAGTCCAGGTTACAGCTCCTTTTGAATTCAAGTTAGAGACCAATAAATCCCGTTTAAATGTGTAAATGCAACGTAACCTTACTACTGAGTCGTTTATCTATTGGTTGAGATAGAGATATGTAGGTGTTCAGTTGTCCATATAAAATCAGAGTCAAGTGGCAGTAAAAAGGTGAAGATATCTCTAACTTAAGTAATAATATTTAATGAGACATGTCTCTCGGAAGGAACCAACGCCAACGAGCTGTTTCAAACTAAATTTACTTCCGTGTGGGACAATATTTGCAGTAAAAACCCTTGTTTTACAATTGACAGAAGCAAGGTGATCAATCCAGCAATAGTAAGCACCTATCATGAGAGACATAGTGCACATTCAAGTTGGACAGTGTGGGAATCAGATAAGTTCTAAGGTATTTAAACATGTATTTGTCAAAGCTTGTATCCATTAAGCAGACGAAAGGTTGTGGTATCTAAAGGTTTCAGGGTTGGAATGCATGAAGCGTTCTCATTTTTGTGGATGTTGTTGAACGAAGCTCCCAAAAAAAATCCTTAAGTGTCGAATCCAGGATAAAACCCTCTCACTTTTGCCTCGCAAAATAATTTTGAAACTATTACAGATAATTTCTTAGATGCTAACAAATTCAAGATCTTCCGCTGAACACCGTGAACAAAAAACATGGGTAGTAATTCAAAATACCATCTAAATTTAGAGGAAAAAGATCACGAATCTCTTTCATTTTATGCTATATAGTGTTATCTCCACAAAATACCAATATTATCTGTAAACTATATGTGAGGTATTCCTCCAGTTACACGTACAGTTTGCAAGTTTTTCCACTCAGTAAGACTTTTTTAAAGTGCACGGTCCGTTTGACAATAAAACAGATTTCATATTGGATGCCAGTAGCTCCAGAAAACGGCTATTTATTAATTTATACAGGAAAATGTTTTGACATTTGACGAAACACTAGTCGTAAAATCTGCCGACTTAAAAGCCCATCTTTTCAAACAACAGTATGGATTTCCTTCATTGTTTCAATATAACAAGTTTAAAGTCAGCGTGGTTCATTGAAATTATAGTTTATCAATTAAACGCAAATTACCGTCGCAGAAGGGTTCACGGAGCCTAAAACAATTTTGAACTATTCGGTAAATTTAAACTGTTCAATAAATTTAAACTGATCAGCAAATAGAAGAAATTGTCTCAAGAGATGCACATGTAAATAAGAGGAAATATTTTGCTTCCTAAACGTTCAATTTTTATTGAAGTTGGACGCAAAGAGACTTTAAGCTGCAGTAACAAGAAAAAATTCTGTAGACCACCTGCCTAATGAAAAGCAGGTCTCTAATTTACCAGCTAATGTTAAAGCCCTCGCTTTTGTTCTATTTTGGAGAAAAGATCTATTAAAACTACAACTGCAAAAAAGAAAAAAAAACTAACTAACTAAATAACTCTTATCAATAGGAACTAACTGATTAACCAGTGTGATAACTATGGTTCAGAAGAAATCGCAGCTTTCACAGATTTCACCTCGCCGGAAGGAATAAATTCTTTTACTTGGTCACGATGTAAGACTAGGCCACCTGCAGTACTGTAGGCTGTTGTCGATTCACCTGTTAAGGGTCGTTTTTGCTCCAAATGACAACATTAACAGAAAAACTTGTCTCAAGTTTCGCCTTTTCTTACATATTTCTTGAACAAAACGTTTCAAAAACTTTCCACCAGCATTTCTAACTCATGGGACGGTGTCATCGTTTTTATATTATTTCTTGCTTTATTAATAACAAACGCAAATTATCCGCAGTCAACAAGAAACAGGCACGGTAGCAAATAACAGAAATGAAGATGGTATATTTCTCGAATCAGTGACCCACAATATACATATCCTACGACAACCACATTGCAAAACAAAAGCTGAAACAGATGTGACGTTCAAGGACGAAGCAAGCTCAAACATATTGTTATCTATCTGTCTGCATGCGATTTATTTCTTTCTTTCTCTTGTTCTCGACTTAATGCAGTTTTGGGAACTTATTTCTGATGAACACGGGATTTCGCCAGATGGGCACTACACAGGAAAAACTCCAAATCAACTGGATAGACTTAACGTTTATTTTAACGAAACAGTGGGTAAGTGGTGCGTAAGCACTGGGTACATCTCACCCCACAAAGAGAGAGCTATCATCCCTACACATGGTTTCCTTCAGCTAGAAAAGATCTTTGAGAAAAAGGGTTTTACTTTAAACGACTTAATACAGGCATGCAGTTGCTAGACTACAGAATAAAAGATCTTGTTCTTATTAAATGTTTTGATTTAATTCTCGCTGTTTGCTCCCGCGCCAAATTATTGGTCAAGTCAAGTCTTTGACGATAACTTATATCATTTATTGCATACTCAGTATTTCGCCTGTTGTTCGCTGATTGAATGTTTCGGGTTTTTACCCTCAGGTGATAGGAATTTATTTTTCTCTCTTTTATGCAGATGGCAGGTACATTCCACGAGCAGCATGCCTGGATTTGGAACCAGGCTCAATCGATTCACTCCGCACTTCAAAGTACGGAAGACTCTTTAGCCCTGACAACTGCATTTGTGGTGAGTTGAAGAAAACAGAAGCGAAAGGAAACTATCTTTGAGAACTAGCAATTTTATTGTAAATTATTATTGGTTCGAATTAGGAGAGTAATCCAAATGACGTTCGCAAAAATATAATTTAGAGAAAATATTCAATCATGTGTTAATAGCCAATCCTGCTATAACAATTGTTGTTTTACAATAATATCTCGACCTCAACTCATCTTGTATGTAATCCATATATTTAATTCCGATTACAGGTCAGAGTAGTGCGGCGAACAATTGGGCCAAAGGATTTTATACGGAAGGGTCTGAACTTCTAGAAGCAGGGATGGACTGCATACGAAAACTGGCGGAATTTTGTGATTGTGTGCAAGGTTTTCAAGTGGCTCATTCTTTAGGAGGAGGGACAGGCTCTGGCCTCGGATCGCTTTTAATGTCAAAAATTCGCGAAGAATATCCGGATAGACTACTGAGTAGTTTTTGTGTGCTGCCCTCGCCAAGAGTGTCTGAGACAGTCACTGAGCCATATAATGCTACGCTAAGCTTTCATCATCTTGTGGACATTGCAGATGCAGCGATTTGTATTGATAACGAGGCTTTGTACCATATCTGTTCGAATGTTTTAAAACTGAAGACGCCTACTTACAGTGAACTAAACAAACTAGTGGCCACGACCATGGCAGGAGTCACGACCTCGCTGCGCTTTCCTGGTCAGGTAATGATCAATAAGCTAAATTAAATCTGTAACAATAAATGATAACACGTTCATTTTGAAACACAGAATATTCTTTTTTCCAAAAAAGTACCCATTGTTTCTTACAACTTAGTTCGAAAGTCAAAACATATCAAGTAGAAATAGAAAACAATATAATAAATGTAAACAAAACGAAACCAGACGGGAAAATGAGTTCTTCAGTTATCTCAGTGTCCGCTTTCGATATTGCAGATATTTCATTTTCTCTACGCGAATAATTCGGTGATCAACTAAGCGTGGTCGATGTGTCATTTTAAAATATTAGTTTTTATGCGCACCTTGCACAGGGGCCAAAAATATCAGCCCTTAAGGGTGGGGGAGGGGGAGAGGGTGGCCATTTGTAAAGCTATGACTGTAAACAATTTTTTCCACGCAATTGTCAAATTAAAATAACTAAATCAAACTTTGGGTACTTACGGACAACGTGCTCTCCACAGCTAAACGCAGACCTTAGAAAACTCGCAGTAAATATGGTTCCGTTTCCAAGACTTCATTTCTTCATTCCCGCCCACGCACCACTCATCAGCCGATACTCTCAAAGCTACAGATCATACGGCATCTCGGAACTTACTAGTAACATGTTCGGACCTCAAAACATGATGGTAGCCTGTGATCCGCGCCAGGGAAGGTACCTTACCGCTGCAGCTATGTTCAGAGGCCAGCTCGCTATGAGGGACGTAGAGGAAACCATCTCCGCAATGCAAAACGCATATTCGACTTCATTTGTCGATTGGATTCCGAATAACATGAAAACAGCTGTGTGTAATGTACCGCCCAAAGGACAAAAAACCTCCGCCACCTTTCTTTATAACAGTACCGCCATACAGGAAGCATTCAAAAGATTTACTGACCAGTTTTCTGCCATGTTCAGAAGGAGAGCTTTCCTCCACTGGTACACGACGGAAGGCATGGATATCATGGAGTTCACCGAGGTGATTTTTTATCTTTGCCTTGTTATTTTCTTTGAAAACCAGCCACTTTTTCGAGCATATTCCGTTTTTTGAGCTTAGAACTAACTAGTGGAATATTACTTTCAGTGGTTTTAAAGTCAACTCCCACCATGACCTGATCACAACGCGGCCAGTTATCTTTCTGCAGAATGTTAGTAGTACCGCAATTAAGTAAGATGGCAATTTTCCGAAACCTAGGACCTCTTGGCACAATAACCTAAAAAGTTGTTTTCACATTGCCGTTTTTACATCCAAGATGGAAATATAAATTGGTTTTAAATTCAAGCAGCAAGAATATCAGGAAAAGAAACAAACTGAACTGGCTTTTAAGCAAAGAACCGCTCAAATTCTTAAGTTTTTAATTGTAAAATATAACTTTCATGGAAGACTAATTGGTTAACTGGTTGCCAGGCTGTTGCTAAAGCTAACAAACTGACCTCAGGCACTGTTTTAGTCACGTTAAAATATCAAACTTGATTTCATGGTCTTTCATTAATGGTGCTTCATTCAAAGTCTTGATAAATTTATTGTGAAGGCTACTTTAAACTGGATTAGAGTAAATCCTATCAGCCGTGCGCATGTGAATACAACACCAACAGGAAACGAGCGTTCACTGGAACGCGTTAGAACAGACTCTAAATTATGCCACGAAGTTTTTTTTCGAGAAGTATTTGACAATTTCTTACTGTACAACTTTTACCTCGTGAACGTGAAGTTGGGAATCCTTCTGCGATGTAGGGCTTGACTGTTAACATCATGAATTCGCGAACGTGACTTTGAGCGCGATGCTCAACGAGTTTTTTTTGACATTTTCGAAGTTTCTGATGAGTCTCTTGGCCGAAACCAAACGCCGCGCACTACCAACCACGAAGTATTTTTTCATTTTGAAGTATTTGACAACGCTTTGTGAAAGAAATTTTGTTTGTTTCCGAGCAAATTAAGTACGAAAGCTTTGAAAGAAAAATCGCCATGGCCCGTTGGCGAATTGTCAGCTCAGAAAAGAATACAAACGAATACATTTTTGTGACATCGACAAAAATGCGTGAAAATTCGCACTAGCTAAAATTCAATTCAGCCGAGTTAGACAAAGGTTTACATCAGACCAACACAATAAAAGGCGTTCCGAATTTCTGACTCTCGTTACAAAGTAAAATTTAGTTTTTAAAGAATAACGACATCCTGAATAATAGACAAACTGACCTTTCTCCATTCATAACACTTTTGAGCATGGCCATCGCTTCCCGACTTCGTTCCTGAATTCCAGTTCCTTATTAAACTTTCTTCTCAAAACACGACTGATCAAGCGATTGCACGCACAATTAGCAATTGACAAGCCGAGAACAATGAGATGAGGCAAAGGTAAAGGAAGGCAGTGTCGAAGCTCAAAGGCTGACGTGCTCGTTCCTGAATAACATGAGTTTGCTTGAGCAACAAAGCTATGCAACAGATTACGAAACAAAGAAACCAAAATTCCCGCCATGGCGCGCGCTGCCATGTGGATAAGCTGCGCCCTCTCATTGGTTATTTGCGTGGTGTATAAGAGCTTCACCCCGATTGGTTAGATTTATTAATGTTGATGTTCGCGGATAAAGAAATACTTACGACAACAACCAGGAAGGAAGTATACGTGGGATGAAACATGTACGGAGCAAAAAATAGAAAAGGAGCCGCATAGATGTAAACTATTGAAAAAAATTTTGCTCTCAATTGAGCATTGGATAAATATGAATTTGTGTACAGAGTAAACCTCACAAGGTGGCATTTTGGGGGGGAATTTTTCTTCGCTTTCCAGGCATGCATCGGTTGTTAGAACAACCAACACAAACTTTTACTCGTTCCTTTCCTCAGCATTATAATAAATGGTCAGTAAAGCCAATGTTTTCTAGTAGGTTAATTCTAATAATTGGAACGGGGGAGGGCAGGGGAAAAATATCACGGTGAGAACATTGGCAGTCACTTACAATAACCCAAACTGAAGAAAAAAAACAACGAAAAAGAGGGCAACAGTCTCCCTTGTCTTTCTTCCAGGTTGGGTATTTAGATGTTTTGGAAGGGTATGAACCACACCGATGTGATAAAGTCTAAATTTGAGCTCAGGTTTTAATATGATTTTCAATTCGCAGGCTGACTCCAACATGAACGATCTTATCGCCGAGTATCAACAGTATGAGGAAGCTGGACCAGAGGACATCATATACGATGACGGCGAATATGAAGAGCTAACAGATTTCCCACGAGACTCACCCAATAATATATAAATGAAAAGCAAAAGATTTACTTTGAAGTACAATTATGTTCATCTATTTACTTACTTTAACTCTTTAACTTTATCATCATTCAACTGAATGATTTGTGAGAGTTGCTATAACAAGTATATATGCTTATAGTTCCAAGATTAGCTTGATTCTTTATTAAAGAATATTAGGTTCTCAACAAGTATTTTCCAGCTAACTTTGATGAGAGTGAGTGAGGTACCTGCATAAGTTGAGTTGAGGCTCTACTCAAGATGTTTTTATGATTACTGTTTATTAAATTATTACAACAAATACTTTAAGTTTTACCGGTGAAACAATCAGTTTTTTGTTTGAGTTAATAATACAACACAGAACATTTTACAAAGTGTCTAAGTCAAGGGATATTTTCATTTATTCATTGGAACAGGTCTTAAAGTAAATGTATTTTCTATTTCATTTAAATTGGTGAGTTTTTTTTTATGTTTGATTACTCCATTAAGGGCTATGCTTATTTTTGAATGTAAATAATATAGCAATTCATTTTGCAATTTAAGTCAATTAAATTAAGCTGATTTACTTGACTTATGTCAGATTAGGATTTGAAGTACATTTCTTTGTGAACAATTAAAACTACTTATGTAAGAAATTAATCCTTCAAGAATTTTCAGTTAAAATTGAAATAAGTTTACTCAGGATTATTTCAAAATTAAGGTATCCTGAAGACGTATTTTTTCCAAACTGATATTAGAAAGGTGTTCCTCTCTTGATCAACAAAGCCAAAAACCCCATTCTTAGTCAAACATAACCATATATTTAAATAATGAGGTATTAAATCAATGACGTTACTTCAACATTGCAAGATAAATAGGTAAAGGGGGATCTTTCTGAAATTTTAAAGAGATTAAAAAATATTGAATTATTTATAAATATACTTGATTATTTAACTTACAAAAGGGCTGAAAATAAAGCTTAACCCCAAAAGATCTTGGATATAAGGTTTTGGTTTTTACCTTGTTTCATACTGCCTTTTACTCATTTACCCCACACACAGAAACAGAGGCAGCCTTTCTAACATTGACACTGAAGAGCCATAAGAACACCACAATACTCTGAAGGGGACCATTTTTTAAACATAACTTTCAATAACTAAAACCATACATTTCCCAAAACATGGTGGTCCCTTCCTAAAAAAAAGGGGCATTGCATGTGTCTCTCCAGATTATGCCTGCAATCAAGCAATCACTTTCTACCCATCCATCAAACAAACAATCAAACCACACATTTTTTAACATATTCTTGGTAAGGGCAGAAGCAGTACATGGCTCAACCATTATTTGAAATAAAATCTTAAATACACATTTTAAAAACAAATGAATCCACAAAACTGGCCATCAAGCAAATACATGTAACTGCTATTAATACCCATTAAGCCAGTAAAGTGCTATTTGGCAATTATATTGAAAATAGCACAAAATGCTTTTAAACCTCAACACCCAGGCACCAGACTATTGTAACTCTCAAACTATTCCACTACATGAAAACTGAAACTTCTTAATTGCCTTAATAATTCAAAGATTTTTCTCAAGTATTAAAATGAAGTAATGGTTTTGGCTTGATGCCTTACAAACAACTTGGACCCTGTCTTTGGGAAATAAGGCCACGTCATTCAAACATAATCAGGAAAAACATATAAGTAAATTGCATACAATATATACACACACCCAAGATAATAAGTTGTCATTGAAACATCATGATGATAACATAGTACAAATATTATCCAGAGATATGACTCTGAAAATATGTCAAAAGCATCTTTTATTTACAAGCAAATACATTTGCCTTATGCTTAATCTTTTCTAAAGTGCTCTTAATAACTATCACACTGTTCTATGAGATGCAAAGTATTTTAAACCCTCACTTGTGATGGTATAAATGTCTTCATGGTAGCAAAAATTTAGAAATGGTTTTTAGGTTTGTTATGTGTCATTATGTAATAGTGACCTACCAATGCAGAGTTGCTGGTCATTAACACTTAGTAGCAACAAAAAAGTTTACCAATTCATAACTTGCCTGTAAATTTATAGTTAGGAACATTTGTGAACACTTCAAACACCTTTGGCAAAGAAGACAACCTAGACTCAAGGCAAATGAAGTTTTCTTATTACCACCTCTAGAGTGCCACCACTTTCATGCATTATCCACTTAATTTCTCAGTAAAGTCTCAAGCAGAAGTGAAGAACTGAGCCATTAAGTTAGCAAACCCAAGCAAAACAATAATAGAATGGAATCCAGCACTCAGCCAAGACAGCTTTCCTTTTTGCTTCTGTATCACTATGTACACAATACAGGGTAGTGCATAATCATAGGCCACTCCACTTAATGATCCCGCATACCTTTAAATGGGATAAAATAACAATAATATAAAACAAAATGAAAAGGTCCTCCATGAAAATTTCTAAAACACCATATATCACATGCTCACATGACAGTTAGGTTGTCCATTATTAGTTACCTGATAAAGTCACCAACATGTGGGTAGACCACAGCAAATAATACACAGGTCCCAATCAGTACAAAGTTTAGGATAAACACATGTAGATAGCTGTGTAAAAGAATATCAGCTCAATTAAAAGAGAGGAAGTTACCTTAGTAGAACACATGCAATATTGCTTAGGTATGAAAAATTGCACTGGATACTAAAAAAAGTATATTGCTACACTACAAAAACTATTTTGCAACCTGTTACCTGAGCACATGCAGGGCAGAAGATCTAGAAACAAACTCACCTGGGATAGGTTTTTTTGAAGAAATAGAACATGAACTGCACACGTATGACATACATGGCCAGAGGAAACACGGTGGTAAGTTGAAACAGAAGAAAGAGCCTAGCTATAAATGTCATAACATCTGCAGCTGGAAAGTTATCAAGAAGAACCTAAAAATTGATTGAGGTAATTAAAAACAATTTTAATAAATTGTCCTTTCATTCAGTCTCAGGCTAATTGCCCAGTTACCTTTTGCTTTGATAGCTGCATACTCTCTAAAAATCAGACACTAAAGATTTGCAAAAGTGCAAAGGAATTGTTTAGGGTGCATCCACTACAAGGGCACATAACTTGTAGGGATATATTTTAGTAAATCTGTACATCTCTAAATACAGTCATGCACAACTTTTGGTAGGATATATTACCTGTTGAATACAATCTTTTTCTCTAGGAAAAGAAATGAAGAACAGCACTCCAACAAGTGTATATGTAAATGCTACAAGACAGAAAGCTACACTGAGGTCTCGTTCCTGAAATGAAAGAAGAGAAAAGAGTAACTCTTACATCAGTATGTTATTGTTCTTGATACTGTTCTCCATACATTCCCAAGGGCACTGACAAGGAGAATTTGTTTAAAAATTTAAGAGCTTCTTTAATAGGTGATCATTTCATTTACTCTCATAACTTTAAGGTGTGATTCAGGGGTGATGTTATGAGGAGGCACTAGAAACTAGTTACCCCTAGGAGTCAGAAACTTCAATTTAAAATACTTCATTAACACTATTGTATTGCATTTAATTAATACTATTGTATTATAATTGGGCAAAACTAAATAAATAAACACTTGAGAGTAACCTTCAAAAATATGGATCACTTACGTTATTTTTAGGGTTCTCCTGGTTCCTCATTATTGATAGAATACAGTTGTGAATTAAGTAGGCCAGAGTAAGTAAACCTGTTAGGGCAGGAAAACTAGCCTTGAACACTACAACAGAAGAAATGGGAGACATGTTAGTATAAAAATATCCCATATAACTACAAATAATGATAGACATTACTTCTTTATCATGAACTATTGCCAATCTTGGACACATACTCCCAAACAAAATTAAGGTAAAAAATATAAAGCTAACAAAATAACAAATAAACTGCTGCTTTACAGTTTTAAAAAAATGTTACACAGAAATCTTCTTTCTACTTAACCCCTTTCACCCTAAGAGTGACTACCATCTTATTTCTCCTTACAGTAACACCACTGAATCAAACATTAAAGTCATGACAATAGAGAAAAAGATCATCAACTACAGAAGGACCTCTTGATAATTTAACAAATTCTCCTTGTCTGCACCCTAGGAAATGTATTGGGAACAGTATGGAGAATATGCAAAGTGATGTTAGGACGTAAAGGATTGAGACCATCCTTCTAAGTTTGGACTAAGATTTGTGTAATGTTATTATTTAATAACATTTCTTAATTGGTCATCTATCTAATATTTTGTAAACCTAAATTATATCTTACTAAGTGATTTTTATTTTCTTGCTCTAACTCAAGTACCAGTATCTTTTACTGATGTTAAACTTTTTTTAATCAGCACTAGCTTCAAGATCTTACTTGGTATTTTTTTAAAGTCCAGGTTGACTCCCCATATGCTGGCTTTGATAATAGTGAAGATGATAATGTAGATGGCTGACACGGTTCCTGTGTAGAGAAAAGTATAAAGGTAACTAGAAACAGCCCATTTAAGAATTGCATTCTATCAGATGCAGTCCAAATGTTTAAGCCAACTGAAGTCAAGCTTAAAAGTAAATGCTACTCCTGTAGTTGTATGGAGACATGTTGGCTCTATACTATTCTTTTCGTGCCAATTCTTTTTCAAATTTCTCTTTCCAGCACCAACCCAACCTCTTGAAATGTTCTTGACAAGTGACTTTTGAGATTTCCAGCTGTGGTTGGCATGAGACTACATAAACAACATAAATATCATTTTGCATGAATAAATAGTTAGTTTTGGACTGTGGGCCCACAGGTTGTAACCCATTGCAATTAATCCCCATGTTTACTCCTGTTTCTTTCATCAGTGACTGTTATTTCAAAGGCAAAAGTCTCTTTGTCATTACTGTACTACAGATTTTATGACACAAGAGGTGGTAAGTACATTATAAAATTCCCTGTCTGTTACCTATTATATAAATTGACTGAGCTTGAAGAGAAAAAAGAGAGAGAGAGATTACAAAAAAAATATTGAGGACATAGAAAAAGATAAACTAAACAACACTGATCAAAGAAACTTAATACTACCTTACCTAAAGAATTAAACTTTGTGAAAAAAGTTGGTGACCTGACACTGCACAGTGGAAAGAAGACAGCAATCAACAAGTATGGTACGGTGTGTTGAACATGCCAAAATGAATTTTCATCCTGAATAACTGAGCTATTTGAAGAAGTTACCCCTGCACTGTAGCCACCTGGGCAAAGCACTGAAAAAAAGTGTGTGGATAACATGAGCAGAGAGCTCAACAAAGTATTTATATAAAGTATTTAAAGTGTTTACCAAAAGTGTTTCTAACAGGTAGATGGATAAAGCAGATGAAAATGAAGAAAAATTTAAAATGAACTCATGAACAATCATGCCACAAGTAAATTTGTTGGGCAAATAGCACATAAAAAATAATACTCTATGGACATAGACATAAACTTTTTGCTACCTTCCAAAGTGGTTGAAGAGTTGATCACTAGTGCAACTGAAAATATGTTTTCTAAATGGGAGGAAAGAAAAACTATTTGAATAAACAGTTGTTACGGTTAGAAGGTGTCAATTTTATACTCATAAACAGGTTTGTTTAACATTTCAATTTAGTCGTAAGTCATGTACCATACTTATAAAATACCTTACCTTGGATGTATTTTCCAGAGTTGAAGAGAAAGTTGCTCATTAAAACCCAAAATACAATGACTGCACTGACGAGAGGTGCCACTGAAAACAATACTGCAATGAGCTCTCCAGGTTTACCAAGATACTCTCTACATAAAGCAGAAAATTCCACAACATCTCCATGCTCCACTAAAGAGACAAAAGAGGTAATTTAATTGATAAGTTCCTTAGTACTAGAGTTGAACTTCAAATTTGGCATTATCAAAAGTAGATACATTATTTTATATTAAAATAATTGGGATAGACTTTTGTCAGCTATAACCTTACAACATTAAATGTCAATGAAATTAATGTAATTTTGTTAACAATTAAAAGAGTAGTAAAGCAGAATATCAAAATGCATAGTCTGTCACATTTCAATGCCTATAACTCCCACAAGTGATCAACAAATTACTTCTCCCTATAATATCCAGACATCACCCACCAAACTCATTATGAGAATACTCAAAATTATCAGGTAGAATTAATCTCACACCAAATTCTCCCAACTAATTTACAAGGAAATGTGTATCAGCTACAAGGGAAAATTAATAATCAGATCACAATATTTAATAGGATAAGAGGCACAATTACACAATACCTTTCTCTTGTGAACACTTTATTATCAAGTAGCAGGTGTAAAAAATAATTCCAGCCATTACTATCACAAGAATGGTACCCAGAACAAATCCAGCCTGAAAAAAATAGACAGAGATTCAGCTTAAATATTAAGTAGCTTTCAGGTCATTGAAACAGAGTAAACAATTAACTTTGGATAACAATGATTTCATGATTATAGTAAAGTTACTGTTAGTAGTAAATTATCCAGGAATAGAGGCGCAACATAGCTGTAAACCTGATTGATAGCCCATGGCATGCTCAACAGTGATGTGCCCATCATCGTGTTCCAAATGGAAAAGCTGGGAAATAAATACATTTATTGAAATTCAAATCATACAAAGGTGAGTACTGCCAGAGAAGTGCAGAAATTGAGTGCAGATAAATGTAAATTTCAGCATTGTAATTATCAGTTTCAAAATACCACACTCACCTCAAAAGCAACATTAGAAATTCTAAAGCATGGTTAAATAGAGACTAAGGGGCACAAAACCAGTTTTCCTTAGTGAAACAGGGCTTAAACCAAAAAAACTTTTAGTAGAAGAAATACATACCGGTACATTGTTTCCAACAGGACAATTAGGCAGTTATCATTATTAGTTAGGTTAGAGGTAGTTCATTATATAGACTAGGTGAAGTATTTAGTCATAACCCATTCACAACAATGCTTTAAATTCACAAAAGCTGTTTTGTTTAACAGGTTTGAAATCATTTTCTTCATAGCAGCTGCTTAAGGCCATGTTTGTCAACTTCAAATTTAGCACATGAAAATAAAAGTTAGTGGCCCTTTAAACCTTAGAGAAAACTTAGTTTTTTCAGTTCCCTACTTTTGATTTCCATTTAGGTAACCCTTCACTCTCAAGATCCTCTAAGTGATTCTCCTTACTGTCAGCCATACAATTCTTGTGATGTTATTTTGAAGAATTTGGTATATTTTCCTCTATTCCCATCACTTGTCTGTTTTATATTGTATTGATATTGTAAGAAGAAATTCTGTCTTGGTCACTCATGTGAGAGTTAAAGGGTTAAACCCAGTTTAACTAAACATGTTTTGCTGGTGTGAATGGGGTATTAGTCTTACATTGTGACAAGGCTGCTTTGTTTCTCATTCCTCTCTTTTGTAACAACAGACTGAGATGGAAGCAGGTGACTTGGAATTATCTATAAAAGGGGAAAAGCACAAACTTATAAAGTTTACCTAAGGAGTTAAAATAATACACTAGACAGACTAGTTTTGAAGCCTTACAAGCATGCATGGTGAAATTTCCATAAATAATGATTTACTTACCACATTGTGATTAGATAAGCGAGAGATGTATCTATAACGATTGAACTTGGCTGCCAAGTCCCAATACTCCAAGGAAGACACAATTGCTTTCTTGAAAGAATTAAGATTGAAGGGTTTCCTTGTTTGAGTATAATTTCCTGTTGTGATGCCATTTTGGTTTCTTTTACTAAAGAGTAATAAAATAAAAACAAAACCAATTCAAACGAAGACAATGCTTTACTCTAACTTGCTCCGGTTCAGAAGTCTACGTTCCATGGACCAAGTGTTTAAAATCCGTATTGAAAATCCAGTTTGCACCTAGTCCATTGTACCACTGAATGTAAAATCAAAAGAAAATCGAGCGTGCTTATCATGTGAGAAAAAAAAGGATTTGATAAAGCTAAATAGACTTTGAGATCACGGTAACGTACCTCCTCAATTACAAGCTATCCACTACCTTGAGCTTTCAAAATCCATTGCAGCATGTGAACAGTTCGTGTCGGCTGCTTCGCCAACATGAATTAATGACCTTTCATTTTATGATGATTTCTGATAAATTACTCTTACTCTCCAGTTATCATTCTCAAAGTAACATAAAATCAACTTGAAGCCAGATTAATTGGGTAAATTGTGGTCCCTCGTAGAACAACTGAGAGATAAACAACTTGGGTGTGCCATGTTATGGTTTGCATTTAGTGAGTACTACACGTAAACTACCCCAAATAGTCCATGGTATTTCCTAAATTGCCATTTACTTTGTGCAAAAAGGCCACAAATTATCATTTTTGACAAGGCTTTTTACTTGTACCATGAGCTCAGTTTAGGGGGCTCTGTATTTTTGGTGTTAGATTAATCTCCCGCGGAAACGATCTTACACACATATGCTCTGCAGGTGCATCGAAGGACTAAAATACTCCAAGTGAGTTTTTTCCCGCGCACCAAAGTATAAACAGAGATGCCTACACTCCCATCAAATTCAAACTGTCTGGAAATGCTATCATTACCTATTTCCGCAAAGTCATACTTCCGTTGGATTTAACCGTCAAGATTCGATTATGGCGTAATTCCGCTGGTTTATTTCATTTCTGCGAAGATCGCTTTCAAATTCACTCCGCTAGTTTTAATAGCTAAGAAATTTTCGGCACTGCACAAAGTAGAGTGTCAACTGCGAAAATTTGCATAAAGCCGACAACGTTATAGAAATTGCACACCCCTCAAGACAAGGACTCTACCTTGAATTAGCTGGAAAATTTAACTTGTCTCCAGAATTGCTTGAATCGCCCAGTTGAACCGAGATTAAAGGAGATTTTTCGTCTATGATCGCCACTCCCACTTCACTTAAAGAGTTTGGTCCTTTTTCATCAGCCATGATATGATTCAAAATTCTCAGTCGGGTAAACTGACGCTGAGTTGTGCTTTGTTTAAATATTTTTCCTTTTGGAGGAACAAGGCAGCTTTTTGTATGAAGGCTTATATCGGGTCTTGTTCGAGGGGTATTGTAAATATCAACACAGGAGCGTACAAGCGTTATACCCGTCTTGACCAGTCACCACCGAGTCACGAGCTTTTTAAAACGTCTCTTTTAAAACATGCAGTTAATAGAAGACACAAGATCCAGAGGCGGGAACGTGGTTTACCCGCAGTGATGTGATGGAACTCGGAACTGTAACAGAATACGACCAAACAAAGAACAGGATCGATTTTTGGAGAGTTGCTCCTTGAATTTTACTTATTACTATTATTACTTATTATTAATAATGAAGTAGCGTTTTACGAAGACCGTTATCGTAAATTTCATCCTATTTAAGAACCCAAGCAAAACACTTTGTTCTCTGACAGAAGAAACATTTTCCCGTGAGTGATATAAGTCAGTCAGGCTACGTTGTTTAACACCAAATTACATCATGTGTCAGGAGCATCTAAAGGACAAGTTGAGACGAGTAAAGTGCACAACATGCACTTTATAAAACTGTTCACAAGTGTGTGCCCGTTTGTAGGCTGTCTGGTAACAAATAAAGGTCAGAGGTTGCACCAAATCAATCAATTTTCTTACGGTCCCCCAGGTAAGTATTAAAAGTAGTTAAACTAACTGACCTCGGGGTCACGAGTTCACTACCCAATTTAATTTTTAATTAACCTTAGGCAAAAACAGCCACACCCCAGTGCCGACTGTTGAAAGTAAAGGGGCATGACAAACCTACGGCATGTGTGATGGGAACGATTGACCAGAATGAAAAGATGCCTTCAGAGTTTTGCTCCGGATAATATGTCTTTCAACAATTTATTTTATTTAGGAGTTATTAAAGTGGTGCTTTTCATAAAGGGCTGGAGCACGGGCTGATTTGGGATGAAAATCCATCGTTGCATCAATATTTGACAACCTCGCGAACAGATTTCATTGTGATGGAGACACATACGAGTTGATAATATTCTGTAGAAAGGGGTGATACATAAAGCTCTATGGATTCACAGAGGACATCTGAAAATGTTGTGCTACTCGTTTCGAGAAGAATGAACTGACACGCTTAGCTCTCTTAGTCTAGCACTTAATAAACTTTCACCTTTACCATCCTTACCGCGCCACTTCACTTTGTCTTAACAAATAAAGGCTCGAGATCATGAAGGAGCCCTTAAGTGGGTCCTTATTTTGTGAGGCAGTTGGTCCCCCCTTTGGTGTACCACTTTAACCAACCTCTCTCGAGTACATCTCTGTTTCTCCAAAGGCTAGATTATTTTCTTGCAACGTGTACCAAAATTTGTTAGGTGCCAAGTTACGTGGGGGGTTTAACTAAAGTGCAAAGCAGTAAGAAACTATTTACAGATCAGTGACTTAGTTGCGGTTTTATTTTATTATTTGAAACCTCTCCCCACAAAGATACCCGTTGCATATTGATAAAATTATTTGGAACATAGAAATTCTTTTAATCAGGTGCAAACCCGTATCGAGGGTCTTCAGACGCAGCAAAAACACCACCTAAAAATAGACGTTTCCCAAAATATTCGTTACGGAAACGGAATAAATTAATTCCCCAAAAAAGCACAGATCAATAAATAATAAAACCAGAGCAAAATTATCAACTCAAATGTCATTGTGCTTTCACCTCTTCTTATCGTGAAGGGCATTTACTGACTTTGATTACATTACAATTTTCAAAAAATATATATTTTCAATCAGGTTTTTGTTTGATGTCTCCTATCTAAGTGCATTGTTTAGTTATACGAACCAGGAAATGTCCCAAAACAGGGGAAAAGTGCAAACACAAGGGAGCCCATCTTTGGGTAGTCGCGCAACGCTCCCCATTACGTGAAAACCGAAGACAGACTGCGAAGGAGACTAGTAAGGAGGTCGAGCCAGCATTAAATACTTCGTGACTGTACTTCTTATGTTTAAATCTTTTTTTCCCAGTCCTTATTCCACTAAACAATGATCTGAAAATTGATAAAATTTTTCTTATAAAAACGATTCAACGCATATGTTAGTGTGGAAAGCTGAGTTATTATGGATAAAAAACATGAGTACGGTAAAAAAAGGTACATCATGTTATCAAATAAGAGAATAGAGAATTTAACTGAGTTAACCAGTGACGATGCGCATATTTCTCAAAACTTTATCGAAATCATACAGTATGACAGTGACCTGCACCAGGTAATTAAAGTAGTCCACCGAATTTTGAACATTTAACGCATTTGATTGTAGGAACCATTAACATTGAGGTCTTAATTAAATCCTCGAGACAATTTGCCACATAACTGCATAGAAAACATATCTCAAGTATCTTATTCTACCGTATTACAAGATTAGAACATCGAATTGAACTATCAAAAATAATCTCATCCATTAATAAAGAACTGGGACAAAAAATTCAGAACTCCAAAAACAACAATGCAAGAATGGAACACAGTGCTGGGCCAAGAGAGCTGTCCTTTCTGTTTCTGTATCAGCATGTGCACAATACATGGCAGTGAGTAGTTGTAAGCCAGGCCACTTAATGATCCCACATATCTGTGACAAAAGACAAGAGTGCATCACGTGAGCTATTGTGAAATAAGAATCCATTTTCCCTAGGACAGCTCTATTAAATTGGGACCGTTTTAATCGTCATAGCAAAAAGAGACAAAAAAATGGGGAATAAATTTGAGGTGAAATTAAGTTGTTAATTTGACAACCTGTGCACAGTGGTCATGTAGTAAGACCAAGGGAGCCGCAATGTTTTTTTTAATTACAAACTGTTTCTGGTCTAGAGTTAAAGTGAGAAGGAGATTGGCAATACATTTCAGGTAATGTCCTTGTCTGATTTTTTCTATTTTTTTTTTTGAGAGAAGTAACCAAGAACGGACCAAGCCTGTTTCTGACATTTTCAACTGTAATCCTGAGGATTTCCTTTAGTTACCTGATTATGTTGCCAACATGTGGATAAACTACAGCAAATAATACACAGGCTCCAATAAGGGCTAGGTTCAAGACAAATATATGTAGGAAGCTGTGAAAAACAACAACACAAGTTTTTTTGTAAAAAAATAGACATTTATAGGTCTTCATATATTACAATCACACTTTTGAACCTTTAACAAACTTGGCCACCAATCTGTCCTAAAAACAGTAAAGGGGGTAAGATTCTACAAAAACTGCGATGCTGCATTGGCAGGG